CTACACGCGTTACCCATTGGCTATCCGGTGAGGTGATCGATCGGCTTCCGTTAACAGCAGTCAATTGTCAGGAGGGAACAGATGCCAAATGCTGCATTTCTGGCTGCGGTGACGTCGACGACGGTGACGACAAGTAAAACTAAACCATCGGACGTCTTTTCCCATTTTCTTGGCGGGTTACTATTTCTTACGTGTGGTGGAGGGAATGCGCATTGAAACAAATTAACTGTGTTTTGAATAACATTGACTCGACCTCGACCAGCTCCGTGTCGATGAAATGAAGGAGTGCTTGAGATTAACTTTTCAGAGGGATACAGCTGCTTACTTTTAAGGATATAATTGCATACCTGTGATTCGCATTTAAATAAAATGCTAGTGTTTTCAGTAATAGTGACTCGGTTTTACCCAGTTTTAATTCATTGAATTGAAAGAGTACTTGAGACTTACTTTTCGAAGGGGCACAGTTGCTTACTTTTATTTTGACACAGCTTAGATCATTTCGTCCAAATTATGAGGATACTAAGGCGGTCCTATTAGACGCGTTCCAATAAATTGCCAGTATTGAAGTAGATCGCCTGTTGCAGTTGTTGCAGCACGGGACTGTTTACAATTCCTGATGATTCCTTTCTTCGCTGAGAAGTTAACAAGCTGGCTGGGAGAGTTGGTTTTGTAGTGCAAAGTTTCTCCACCAATGTGAGTGGGCGAACTCCGTGTCTGAGCTGGTTGATTATCCATTCAGTAAACTTGGAGATTAGTTGCGTTCTCTTCGCCAACTTTGGCTACTAAGTGGTAGCGATGGAAGAACTCGTTGACAAGTGTCTTCCTTCTGGTCAGTGACGAGTTGGTTAAAGGTAGCACAGTATTCAACCAACGTGGTGTTTAGGTTACCACGATCTCTGCGTTAAGCGAGAAATAGTAATGAAAATTGGCGTGCAGAGTCATTGTAAGACCCACTTTAAAGTTCATGATATAGTTAAGGGGAAGTAGTTCCACTAGGACTGCCACCAAAGTAATAGGTTTGCCACTTCTCTCTTTCATTTTGAATTCGTTCTCATGGATCAAGTAGTCAGATTCTAAGAAGACCTACTTTCCTTCCATTGTGAATGCCTATCATTAGTTAATGGTCATCAGTGATAAGCAACCGAGATGGACCAGTGTAGCTTCAATGCCTACTCACCTTGCAGGTGGTCTGTGAACCCCGTGTCAGCTTAAGCTGGACAAACACGAAGCCCGCATTTGTAGGTTTATCAAGGTGCGATCAGTTACTACCTGGTTGTTGGCCCTCAGTGATTTAAAGGTGCTTGCTATGAATCTAAATACTGAGTTAGGATGGTCGCACGAATTGCTGACCTGAGAACTGGAAGAATGAAGAGTTAGAGTGGGGTGAAGGTCATGAAGTCGGTAGATGTGGAAGCGATAACACAGTGCTCTAGGCGCCATCTTCAGCCTCATTAGCCATCACGATCGCAGACAGCAGGTTACGAGTGAAGAGAAAAGGCCGTATTAACACTGGAATGCTGGATACTAATCGGTGCACACTGCTGTCGTCAACCTTCTGTGTTCTGTGTTCTTGTATTCTGCAGATCACACGCCGACCTACTGCAATTTAGTTGTCAGTGATTAGTAACGAGTTGGGCAAGGGTAGTACAACATTCGTCCAATTCGGCGTCTGGGGTTGTGCTGGCCCATACATCAGTCGAGCAGTTGAACTGAGGCTTAA